TTTTAGAAGAGCGCAATTTTACATAAGCAATTTTTCACGGAAACCAAATTTTTTTCCTGGTTTTCCAGGTTGATCTAGTAATCAAATATAAAGTGTTTATACATTGTTTTTCGTAAATTTTAACTATATTTAAAGTAGAAAAACCTTTCAAAAAAGTTAGAAAAATGTTTGAAAAAGTCGAAAATTGGTCATTTTGGGTCTTCCCCCCGCTAATCCTAAAGGTTCTATAGGATTTTTCGACCTAAAATTAAATTTTTTAATTAAAATGTGGGTAGTTTTTATGCTCAGGCCTAGTTAAAAACCATTTAGAAACGCATGCGCTATTTAGAAAAAAATTTAGGCTTGGGCCGAAGCGCACCCCCTCTTTTTGCAATGGATTCCAGCTCGTTCTCTAGATACGATTTGATATTTTCAATTTCAAAATCTTCCAGTTTTGAGGTTTTTGGCCTAGTCTGGAGGCTGTTTTGCGCGCAGTAAATGCTTTATAGCGGAACTAGGGAACCGGAGGGTAAAATGAAAAATACATCATTCAATGCAGAATTTTTTGGTGCATCTTTCTATAGTAAAAAGAAGTTACCCTCGGCAACCCGTAAAATAGAAAATCCAAAATTACTGTTTTGGGTACGCGAGATTCCGGTGTTCCGCTCATTTTCGTGCTTCACGATGTATTAGAGAAATGATCCCCATCCCAAATTAGGTATTGTCACCAATTTTTAGCCAATTTGGTGCAGTAGTTTTGGAGATAATTTTTGAGGGTCGGCCACTTTGACTCCAATTTTAACACCAAAAATTAACTTTTTAAACTTTCAAAACTGTGCAGCCCTACTAATTTGACCATGCTCTTTCAGATGCCGTCAAAAAAACGGGGCCGAAAAAAACTGTGCCAAGCCATATTAGGGTCTGTTCGGGTGACTCGCGGACGGCCTTTTAACTCTCTCGGAATTTCCAAGGGGCTGCGGCTGTTTCCTAAACAGCGTCCTGGCTCCGGTGCTGTGCGCGCAAAATTCGGCCTTTCGAGGCATTTTTCTTTTTAGCGGACCCACTTTCCCCCCTTTTTTTCATCTATCCGGCGGTATTCTGACGCACTGACTCGAAAAACAAAATCCCATTTTACATTTGTTAGGCCAAAAATTCGTGCTCAGGGCATCAAACTACCCTGAGTCGAACTGTGGAAAAATACCCTAGGAGGAAAACGGTCAATCTGCGTGGACCCGCAAACCGAAATAGCGCTACTTTCGATCGTTCGCTCGAAAATTCCAGGATTGCGAGTTTTATAGTTTCTAAAATGTGTTTTCTGACTCAAAACCGGAGTTTTAGAGTAGCAGATTCTCGGCCGAAAGTTGAAAAGAAAGCTTTTCGACACGAGAATCTTCCCTCACCATTGCTGGTCGTGGATTTTCATTTTTTTTCTTTTTCCTGCGTTCACTCAGTGCTTTTAACCTTGTTTCTGTTTAGAAAGCTCCACCCGAACTTCCGAAGTTGCCCAGCATGGACGCGAATCAACGGACAATGATGGTATTTTGAAACCTAATGCGAAAATCGTTTTCTCTCCCACGTAAAATCTTTGTTTTTTTTAGGAACCCGACCTGCACGGGCACCTCGGTGATGGCCATCCAATACGACAAGGGCGTCGTCGTCATGTCGGATCGGGTCGTCAGCTACGGAAAAACAGCTCGATATCATGTCAGTGATAGCACCTTTGTCTTTTAGGGCAATTTGAGGTGTTCTATAATCTATTTTTGTGTTTCAGAACGTCTCCCGCCAATACAAAGTGAACGACAACGTGATCGTGGCGTTCGGAGGCGACCACGCCGACTTCCAGTGGCTGCAGAATCTGATCGAGCGAGTGGTGGCCGAATGGAACTCGCTGGGACACGATATCGGGCCCAAATCTCTGCACGGATACCTCACCAGCCTGCTCTATTCACGGTATAACATTTATTTTAATCGGAAAAATTGCTCATGTCATTGAAACATGGCGTTTTCTTTTTTGGTTAAGAGTTTCTCTGTTTTAACTTATACCTGCCTGGTTCTTAAATAGAATAGTAGATTCTGGACAAAAAAGGCAATTTTTGATGTTTTTATGTTTAAAAGAGTTTGTGCATCGCTTTTCCTAAATAAAAATTAGTAAATCCGTTGTTGTTGAACCCCGAAACGAGATCTTAGGAAATAGTTGGCTACTTTCCCCCACGCGAACAACAAATTTGGCTATTACGCGCGTAAGCTTTTCTTATTGAAGGTAGAGTTTACCTTTTTTTTGCAGCCGCACGAACATGGACCCGCTGTGGAACACGCTACTCGTCGCCGGTGTCGAAGAAGATTTCGAGAACAAGGAGCCCTTCATCGGCGTCATCACCCAGGTCAGATTTGGAATTTGGTTATAAACCCTTATTTTTAGAAGGGCGTCGCCTACCCGGTGAAGAGCGTGGCGACGGGGATGGGCGCTATGCTGGTGAACCAGGCGATCGAGGACGAGTTCCACAAGAAGGTTGGGCTTTTTGCGGCTTGATGAAGATGATGGTTCTGGACTGTTGGCGGGGGCGGCGCCACTTTGGTATAACGTCCCGTAGGGTCCAAATAATGAAAACACGAAAGATAATGTGACTTTTGACGTTTATTCTATTTTCGTAAAAATTATGTCCGCCAATACAAGGGTGGAAACTGGCCCTACTTATCTAGCTTGCTTTATTTAGCCACCTTTTTGCTGAGTTTTTTATTTAGCTTTTTTTATGATCTGTTTCCTTTTAGCAAGGAAAATTGACGCGCGCCGAGGCGGAGAACATCCTCCGCAAGGGCCTCGAGCTGACGTTGTACCACGATTGCGTCGCCGACAACAACTTTGAGCTCGGCGTCGTCGACATGGACCAGGGAACGATCATGGGCAAGGAGGCGAGTTTTTCGTTTTTTTTTGATCATCAAGCTCGATTCTCTAATTTTTGGAATTTCCTAATTTTGTATTTTCAGGAACGCATCATCGGCAACTGGCAAATCGCCGAGGCCAACTGCCAATACGAATAAGCGGCCACCGCCCCTATTATTTTCACCGGTGTCCCCGCAATCTGTCGTTTTTAATTTTATTTCTTTCCCCCGCGAATTCTTTGTGATCCCTTCGATTTTTTGCGAACAATAAATTGATTGCTGAATGCGGCGTGGATGGGTTGAAAATACAGAGGATGGGCCCTGAAGTGGAGATGCTTGTAAGGACGGCGAGGTTTTTGTGTGTTCGAGTCTCGTGCTTCGCAAATTAGCACTACTAGGCTACCGGTTCGGATTTGGTTTGATTATACTCGAAATTCGAGGGTTGTCGTAGTGTTCCTGTTCGGCGTATGTTGGGACAAGTGGATTTCAAATTTTTAAGTTTTTAGTATCTAAAAACCTTGTAAAATGCGATAAAACTATTTAGATTTTGATATACAGATTAGTAAGGCCGTACGGGAGGAATATTGGGGAAAATTTGGTTCACACGCTAACGGTCCTGTAAGAAAAATGAAGGGTTTTTCCTGTGTTAAACACTAACCTTAAGGCTATATGTTGGGATATATTTGACCATACATCGAAGCGCAGTTATAAATATTATTAATGAGAAAGTTCCCGTTTTCAGGGTTGCTCAGATGCAAGAGTTGACGTCAATCCGCGTGGGCCCCCGCGAAGGAAACAATCGTGTGTGGAGCGTATGTTGGAATCCAGCCGGGACACTGCTTGCCGCTTGTGGCGAAGACCGCGCTGTTAGAATATGGGCATTTGATAAAGGTCGGTTGACATTTCCAGCAAAAATTCTAGTATTTCTTTCAGATGATCCAAAGAATCTGCGCCCGGTCTGCACCCTCAACGACTCGCACAACCGCACGATTCGCTCGGTGTCCTTCTCGCACTGCGGCCGCTTCCTCGTGTCGTCCAGTTTTGACACAACAATCGTCGTCTATGCACGGGATCAAAGGTTCATATTATTTTATAATTTTGTTATTGGATGGTTTAAGCCGTTTAATTTCGAGTTCTTTCGCATTATGAGGGGGAGAAAAGTTGCTCAGGGGTCGAACTTTTTTGTATAAGTCTAGAAATGTCTAGAAATTATTAGCAAGTGCTTTAATAGTGTTTTTAGTCAAATATAACTGTTTTTCAACTATGAACCTAGGTAAAAAAGTTGAAAATTTTGACAAGGTCGAAATTTTGTTCCTAAATCTGCCATTTTTAGTCGAAAATCGATATTTTTCGTTGTTTTTAATAAAAATTTGTAAAATTTTTACGTTTAAAGATGACAAAAACCATTTAGAAAAAAATTCCACTGTTCATAGTTGGAAAATGGAGCCCTAAAAGAAAGCGAGTCCCCTCGGTAATGCGAAAGAACCTAATTTAGCTTATCTTTTTGCTTGATTAACGCCGTGAAATTAAATTTATTTTTCGATTACTTACATTTTCTAGCGGGAGCTGGGAAGAGGCGAACAAGCTCGAGGGGCACGAGAATGAGGTGAAAGCGGCCGTCTTCTCCCCGTCCGATCGTTTTCTGGCCACGTGCAGCCGGGATAAAAGTGTCTGGTTTTGGCAGTGTACGTTTTATACATGGGGAGTATGAGCTGGGATTATTTCAGTAGATGAGGATGACGACTTCTCGGTGACCTCCGTCCTTCAACCCCACACTGGCGATGTGAAGAGTGTCCTTTGGCACCCACAGGAAGATGTATGCGATTTTACAGTAGATTCTAGAGAATTCTTTAGATAGCGCTGTCGCTGAGCTTCGATGCCTCCATCCGCTTCTACAAATACGACGGCGAGGATTTCGTGACGTTGCAGAAGATTGAGCAGGTTTGTTTGTTGCCTTTATGGCGAAAATTTGGGCGATTTTTGCACTTTTATTTATTTATTCGTGCGCACTTATTTACATTGGGATTGAAAGGGAACCAAAATACCACCATCAAAAATTTTGCGTAGTTTTTGGTAGCGGACTCTTAGCGTGGGGAACTACATTTTTCTCAGTAGGTCCGTAGTACCCTATAGCAAAATATAAACGATTTTTATAACATTTTACCACGGTTTTAGATACAAAAACTCTTAAAAAAATAATGGAAAACTACCCAAAAAAGTCAAATTCTGCGAATTTTGAATTTTTTTTGGCGCTATTTCGGAATAGGGGACCCACTTTGATCATTCTAAAAACCACTTTTGCTGGGGTAATTTTGCACGGTCATTCCGAAAAACGGTACCCCATCCCGTAAAACGTATAACGCGAAGCTGAAGCTTCCGTAAAAAAACAGCCTAGGATCCCCCTTACGTTACACGGGAGCTTGGAAAAGTCGCCCATATAGGTAGCTTACAAGTAGACTCTACGCGAGGTGGGTTCGTCTGGATGACCGAGATTTGGTCTCAATCAAGCTAGTTCATCAGTCGGTCTTAGTTGGCTTATAAAGTTTAGAGGTTGCAAAACGAAGCTATCAGTGTATTGTGGCCAAAAGTCAGGCACGCACACTTAGCTTCCCTAGCAGTTCATTATTTTTTATGTCGAAGGCTAGGGTTTTACAAGTTGGTATGGTGTTTTTCGCAACCAGCACGCAAAACTATCCAAGAAAACATGTCGCAAACCCTAGATTTGATAAAATCCAAGTGGGTCCCCTATTCCGAAATAGCGTCTTTTTTTTGGCTGTTTCTCGTAAAATTTAACTGTACTTCAAGTAGAAAAACAATCAAAACAGGGGAATTTTTTTCGGTTGAAACGTTGGTCGAAAATCGACCATTTGTTTCGAAAATCGTTATTTTATGGATTTTAAATAAACATTTTTGAAGTTTTTAATTTTAGGTATATTAAAAAATAGTGTATAAACACGTCTTCTATATCTAATACGAAAATGACATTTTTAGTAAAAGTTGCCCCCCCCCCCCCGATGACGCGAAAGAACCTGTTTTACTATTTATTTATCCGTTTTCAGGCTCACGAAGGCACGGTTTGGGCAGCGGCATTTGACGCGAAGGGCGAACGCCTCATCACCGTCGGAGAAGACCGAGTTGTACAGGTACGCACTCTGAATAGTTTGGTCATCTACTGTCGCGTCATTTTCAGCTATGGAGCCGCGGGGCGGGCGAATGGAGAAGCGTCGCCAAATATCGGGTGGATGACTGTCGATGGCCCCTCTATACGGTAGATTGGAATCCGGTGACTGGCCTCGTTGCCGTCGGCTCTGGCGATCGGCGGATACGGTTCGTTATTTCTTTATGATGAAATGAGAGAACCCGGTGTACTGGACTGTTAGCAGGGGGGGGGGAGGGTACCGTTAGCAAACGCTTTCCTGTTGCTCCAGGTTTTTAGTAAATTCTATTTTTATTTAAAGTTGAACCGCTGAAAAACTTAGAAAAAAGAAAGCTTAGAAAAGAAAATTTTCCGCCTAAAAGAGGTATTTTGTGGTATTATTTTTCTATTGTCATTTTCCTTTTTCAGCTTTTAGTAAATTTTAGTTGTATTTAGAGTAAAACGACTTCTGAAAGACGTAGAAAAAAGCTTGATACTTTGAAATTTTGGCAATGGTCTATTAAAATATCATTTCTAACTTACATAATATACTTTTTAGGTATATTTAGTGAATATATTCGTGTAAATTCCGACCGAAAACTTAAACGATTTTAGACTTAAAACGGCGCAAAAAAGCGCGATAAATTGTGTGTATTCCATTATTTGGACCCCACAGGGTGTGAACCCTCCCCCCACTAACAGTCCAGTACCGAAAAACCCTTTGAGCGCTGTCAAACCGTCCGTTTTCAGGTTGTTTGCTGTTGTCAAGGCGGAAGATGGGATCGAGAGCACCCAGCCGATTTCCTCTTCCGTACACCATGACGGTGATGTGAATTGCGTGAAATGGCACCCAACCATCCCGTCAATCCTGGTCTCCGCTTCTGATGATGCCACCATATCCCTGTTTCACGTCGATCCACCTGCCTACGGTGCTTCCTCAATGCTCAAGTTTTCTTCGCGTTTTTTTAAAAATCATGTTGTGATTTTGTTGTGATTTTGTTGCTAGATTTTCTATGTACTCGTTCGCCATGTCTGATTGCCTTGAATGTTACGCGTTTCCCTGTCCAATAAAGATATATCGGCTTGGGCAAGGCACAACGATAATATTTGCAGATAGAGGCTAGTGACGGGACTAGCTCTCAACCTCGGTTTGAAGTTTCAGACAATTATCAAGTCTGGAAAATCCACTTAAAAATCTTCAGACCCTAAAATACAGCCGATAAATTAGCGTCAAATTACATTTTAGCTTCGAAAATGCGCATCCTGCCTCCGTTTCTCTCGACCGATCGCTCCCTATCTCCCGCTTACTCTCTGCTTTCCCGTGTCTCTCGCTGGCTGCTTCTTCTTTGAGGGATTGTCCTTGAAGTATTTCTGCTGTAGTTGGTCGTCGCTGGAGTGGCGGATTTTGGGGAATTTGGGTAAAACAGCTCGTTTCTATCGTATCACGATTGATTTCGGCGTATTGGTCGGTGACGTTGTTGGTCGAGTTCCTCAATTGGGCGTGCTGGTGGTAGGCGGTGGTAAAATATCGTGGCTGCGGCGTCGCCGCTGGGCTTTTCTGGTCGACGGTCGGCTTGGTGCCGACACCGCTTCTCGAGAGCATGGGGTTGGGCGGTCCTCCGGAGTCAGGATTTATCGTCTGGATTTCCAGGCTTTTAGAAAAAATTTGAATAATGTGGGGAGAACAAAATGAATTGATTGTTCGTGCTGCAGGCTTCTTGCATAGTTCGCGCTAACCTTAAAATTTTGGGATTGATCAAAATAGTTCTACCTGGCTTAGTAGCCGATCGCGCTTGTAAAGTTGCCTTCTGCGGCTTTTGAAAGCCGCTCGCCTAGTAGCCAATTTTGGGCGGGGCTCCTGGCCAGGAAGCCTGCCTTTTTGGGCTGGATTGGGTGCTACCTAGGGAGAAGTGGCGCCCGTTTTCAAAACGACAGGGTTAAAAAAATGCTCAAAAAGAACCTAGATTTCTCGAGAGTCTTAAAAGCTAATTAGACGAATTTTCATCTGAACGGGCTCTGAAAACCGAACAGATGACCTCAGAGGCTTTTCCAAAAGAAAAGAGATCCTCCGGCCACGCTCTGGATATGGCCGGGCACCAAAAACGGTCGTCCCACAAAACTTCCCATAAAAAAATAAAGGGCTCGAGGAAATAAAAAAAAGATAATCAAGTAAAAATTGAGAGGGAGAAAGCGAAAAAAGGAACCACTCGCCAGCTACCAGTAAATTCTTTGAGTTGTAAAACGTATAGTTTTCAGGGGCATACGGTGCTTTCCAGGCTCAAAAATTATACGATTTTAAAAAAAAACTTATAATTTTGAGGGGGATACGGCAATTTCAAGGCTCAAAAATTATACGATTTAAAAAAACGTATGGTTTTCAGGGGCATACGGTGCTTTCCAGGCTCAAAAATTATACGATTTAAAAAAAAACTTATAATTTTGAGGGGGATACGGCAATTT